AAATCGGAACATGATCGGATACAAAAACGGAGACGGATCGGGCAGGTAGCGGAAAGATGTGAACTACGGCGTTGAAAGTCCAGTACCATTTTGCTTTCAGATCTTCGTCCGATTGTATGATCTGAGTCGGATCGGATAGATGTGACCCGGCCTTTAAGGGGCAGTTTTTAGCAGGATTGCAAATGTTTTCCTATCCGGTAATATTCCTTTAGGTTCGTTGGAATACGCGCTCCTGATGATGAGTTTAGGCATCGAGATTTAACCCCTTGAGCACCGTGATCCTTAAGAAAAGGGCCATCAATCCAGCAATTGAAATGCTTCAAATTATTTGTCCTTTATCCCTCTCGCATGCAGCGAGCTAATGAAAACTGTACATACTTTAAACCCTCCAGATCCGAAACTCATAACACAAATCAACTTGTTCTTAAACTCCACACAGTTAAAGTGGATCATTTTCAGCAAACTGTCCATTATCCGCTTCCCTTCAAACCTCATGCACTTTATCAACTGCAATTTTAACCCACTCGTTTATTAATTAATATAATCATCCCTTATCGCTAAATGGCAATCGCCCACTATAATAAAGCACAAAAGGCGGAAGAACTCCCTAAACCTGTCCACCGGTTACGTAACGATAAATGCAAATTAGAGATGGGCGCTGATGGGATATTCTCCAGAGTTATTGCCCGTACAGAGCCGAACTCCCCCAGTTCCAAAACAACTTGCCAGTTGGTAGATTTGGAGTTGAGCGGGAAGAAAATGAAGATTTATGCAATGAAAACTATGGTTCTTGGCTGAGCAGAACATGGGAAAGGGTGATTAATGAAAGTACTGAAATCGAAAAATCAAACTGGAAAAACAGTCCTAGGCAACAATGTTGCCTCCAAATCTTCATTTCTTGATCAGGGTGTTTTCTCATAAGTTGACGCCTCCTCTAGATTATTTACTTGAAAAAATTGTGAAAATAAAAAAACTCAACATTTCGGCTCGGAAAGATTGAAAATCAAAAACATCAAAACTCGGCATGCTCCTGTTGGAGAAAAAAAACGTTTTTAGAATTTTTAGGTCATCTTCTATTTACAGGGTGTTTAAAAAACACCTTTTTGGTTTTGCAGCGATAACTTCTGTGCTCTTGATCCGATTCTCAGGATGTTCAGCTCACGTTCAAGCTAAAACTTCATAGACAATTCAGGACAAAAATTCAATATACAGAGATGCATAAACAGTACTTAAATTAGATGTGCTCCCGAAATAAGTGATTCTGCAAGATTTTCAAGGGAAGTTTACTTTCAAACATTTTGTTCGTTCATGCCACCCGGTATATTGGTACATTGCTTTTTTTCGGAAATTGCCTGAAAAGCTTCAACATGAAGAAAAACTAGTCACTGCGACATTAAAACGTTGATTTTTTGAGACCACTCTGTAAATAAACCTTAATCTCTTAATGCTTGTGGTGTTGAAATACGAAAAAAAACGTTTTTTTTGTCCAACTGAAATCACGTGAAACTTTCACCAATTTTGCATTGTTTTATTTGCCACCCTGTAGAAACTTTAACTAACGCACCATTTTTTTCGCAAAAACACGATCTAACGGAAAAGGGATTGCACTAAATAACGCTTCACACAGACATAAAATCGCTCGGAGCAATCAGAAATCATCCAGTTCCAAAATTGTTCCAAATTTGTCAGCGTAACGTTGATTTTGTTGAGCAGTTTATATGGTAAAATAATTCGAACAATTTTCGCTTACGCGGTGAATATATGTCTCAAGATGTCAGCTAAGCGTGGTAGCAAAACGTTGGGACCAAATTTCTATAGACGACGATATAAAAACCCAAAAACCGACGATTGTTCCAAATACAGGGGTGGTCAGCCTGAAAGTTGCCTTCTTTTACCCGTTTTCTTTATATTGTGTTTTAAAACAAATTTGACTCAAGGTCGACTTGAAATACGACAAACAAACAAAAATCATAGAGAAAATAACCATATATAAATATGGACTGGAAAAATATAAATTAAAACAATAAGAGCAAAATCAGTGATTTTTTATATGACCTCCACTTAGCTCTGTACATTTTTCAGAATATATTGGTTATGATTCATATTAATGTCGCTAACTGCATCCGCTATTCTAAGGCGTAAATCATTAACATTTTAACTAGACTTTGACACACAATATTCTTAAAGCAACTCCAGATAATCAAAAGGCGTTAAGTCGGGGGTATAAGGGGGCCATGGGATAATCGTCCACCAGAGCTCGTCCAATCCAGTGCAAATTTTCCGTGCTAGAGTCCGATTCTGGACGAATATGTCCGTGCCGTGACCCTTGTGGGCCCACTCGACGGCCCTCGCCCAATGCCCCACATTCCTGCCACAAGTGACGTCACAACTACTACCGCATCAGTGACGTCATTAACCATGGCTCAGGGGTGTGGTGCAGTCCAAGTTGGGTTTGTTCGTTCAGGCCCGCTTTGCATGGCTCTGATTTTTACAGGGTGTGTCCCGATTGATTGAAGGGAGTGTTAGGGGAACTTTTATTGGAGAATTGCACAATGCGAAACTTGTTAAATTTGAATGCCTATTTTTTTGTTTTGGGCCCTTGGGTTTTCTCCAAACCGCTCTTTGACCATTTATGCATCAACATTGAGACTTGCATGAAAATGTTGCTTTATCGGAGTTTTTAATTGCTGTTCACGTCCTAGACAACACCACCATTAGGTCGCCACTCGTGCAGCTAAAACGTTTACAAATTCCATCGGCAACATCCATGTTTGACGTGCTGGAAAGAACCGACCATAATTAATTTTAGATTTGATAATAATTATGAGGATATTATCGTTCGGTGTAAACACTAAGTCTTCACAACTTTCTACTCGGGTTAAGAGTGACAATCCACCCATCTGACGAGAAACATTATGCAAATTCAATGTAATTAGCTATCCGTTTTCCGTCCATACTATTGGCTCACTCAGTTTTATCAGTGTGGTACCCTGTGGTTCAATTATTCATGTCTAGTTCCTCGAAGCACTGCCCAACTAAGAGCTTTTTTGCCACACTAATTTGCCTAGATTTGCATTCATCAGACCTCCAACCTCCACCGATGTTTTTCCATCCGCAACCACGCTCCAACTACCAGCCTGGTACTCTTAAAGACCCATCCGGGCAAAGTATCGGTTTTGATCAAAACCTCTCTCACGTCGATGTAACTCGGTGTTTTTTTCCGCATCTTTTCCAAGTACGGTTTCGTACCGCAATTGTTGAGAATTACAAGACTGGCACCTTTACAAATAAAATTAGTTATGGTTGGACGCTTCAGTGCCTTTTGGGTTGGTGGGCGGTAACACTCAGGTAAACAATGGTGGCATCATGATTTATTCTAACGCGACGCCATGGGGGTATGGAAACTCGCATTTTCGGGCGAGCCACCATTGCAACAATCAGGTCCCATTCATAAAACCCGTTAAAATAATGCCCGGTATGTAAATAAACATCGAACGGGTAATAACTCGTTACAATCGATTAGCAAACGCGCTGTAGGTTTATTGAATATCTCTATTAGATATACAATCGGTCGACAAAGCGATGAGTGGGTGTGTGGAATAATGGAAAAATTAGATCAGTCTTTATACAGGATGGAAACTGATCAAATTGTCTAGGAAAGTATTAAAAACCTCTAGTACTAGCTGAAATGGAACTAGGAGTTGCTCAAATAGTCCAATGATCTAACAAACTGTTCCTGTTCTTTCCAGAGACTTCAACTACGTTCTTCCTCTAGGGGTTTACCTACTGTTAATGTTGAAACTTTCAGTTGTTTGTTCCGCCCCTGTATAACTTAAATTGTTACATATTGACGATGTGGGCGGGCCATTATGGTGCATATCTTTCAAAAGGGGGCAAATACAATGTAAAATGTGTTTGCGTTCGTTCAGCCTACACGAACAAGATCAATTTGTTGCGTTTTCCGTCTCTTGGATGCTAGTCAAGTGCACCTCTGCACCTTCATGGTGCAGAAAAACCCAAATTTATCAGAAAAATTAGTTACCGCCTCTAAAGTCAACGGAAATGAATTGCTTTTTCTCAAAATGATTCCCCAGCATTGAAACCGACGCAATCAAGTTGATTTTTCTAATTACCCGGCAGGATCTTCCGATTTAACACCTACAGATTTGCGGTTGGTCTATGCGATCGATTTGAATATTTATAAGGATGAAATGTGGAAAAGATACATTTTGCTTGGTATTTTTAGACGCGCTAATTGGTCATTGATTCATGATTATGCAGTGAAATCGTGGGGAAAATCAATGGCACTTTAGGGAAATTTACCAGCAATAAATTTTCAATTGTAACAAAACCACAAAGGAAGGGAAAAACATGTTCCCTAAAGCCGTTTGAATTGCATGGTGTTTATTTTCGACTGCTTATTTTATTTAAGTGTCCGTATGAAATTATTTATGGCGCTTAAAGTTGGAAAATTTGTAGGTTTAACCCAAATTGTATGAATTTTTGTCTACATTATTGTAACTGTTTGGTAAAACCTCCATCAGCGTGTAATTAATTTTCGTTTTAATGATAGTTTTAAGTTTCTAGATGGGCCAGCTCCGGAAATCGGGACGGC